ATCAACTATGCAAATATGGTGACATCGGCTACACAACAAAAAATTAGAATCAAAGAAAAACTTATCAGCCCAATCAAAGGAATCAAAGCAATCAAAGCAACCAGCGTCCACGAAATCCCAACATTGTATGTTTCAACTGCAATAATAAAGGCCATATTGCACGTAATTGCACCCTTCCTAAAAATAATCAAACCCAGAAGAATGACTATTTTAGCAAGAATACTCAGCCCAAAAAAGTAAACTATTGCGAAGCAACCGAAGAAATTGACGATAATGACGTATGGGTAGAAGAACTATATAATATAGACCAGCCACTTACCGAAAAATGGAGAGGTCGCCCTCCCAAAAATCTGGTAAATAATGCAGTAAATCAGAAACGTAAAAGAAAGAGAATGGTTTCCTCACCTCCATTAAATTTTGACGAAGCAATGGCTCTGAAAAATGATATCGAAGTATTTCGCTCCAGCCAAAAAAATGTGAGTAAACCTAGGCGAAAAAGGGGACCGTCGATTGTTGATAAACTTGAACCATACAATATAGCACATGATCTCTTGTCAATGAAAGCCAACGCCACATATGGACAACTTCTACACTATCCAAATCAGTGTAGGAATTTAGCAAAAGTTATGAAAAGGCCTCCTAATCCAAAAGAAGCAAATTTAATGAACCCACAACTTACTCAACATACCACAGCTGCGAAATGTTACGTCACTATTGGTGAAGATCCTGTTATTGCTGTGTTGGATACAGGCGCAGCTGTTAGTATTATAACAAAAAGGTTGGCCGACCAATTGGGACTTAGAATTAACGAAGAATCAAAAACTGTGGTTGTAACTGCAACAGGAGCAAGAGAACGTACTTTAGGGAAAATTACAAAAGTCAACATTGAAATTTCAAACGTAAGAATACCTACTGCACTACAAGTCTTGGAATCAGTCGACGAAACTTTATTGTTAGAAACCGATTGGTTCCAAAAAGCTAGAGCTATGTTGGACTTCAACGAGCAAAAATTAGTTATTAGATATTTAGAAAGAAGGTTCGAGGTTCCAATTATGCATACGGATAAAGGCAAGCAAAAAGAACAAATACTGACAATTGATGAATCAGATGACTACGATGAAGATGACGTCGATGAAATATTTGATGAGATTGAATATGAAAGCGAAGAGTTAGAAGAGCTCGAAGGTTTTTCATCCAACTGTATTTCAACCTATGAAGAAAGTGTTGAAGAAATAGAGTCAGAGGAAATGAATAAAATTATTGAAATAGAAAGCCTGGCAGTTTGTTTGGCGGTAATGGAAGAAATACCAACTGGAAAAACAGCCTCCGTTGATAAAAAACCAACAATCGAAGATCAATTTATGGATACCCGATCCAGTATGCACAATATAGAAAGCATAACAGAAGCCCTTTGGTTTTGTAACCTTGAACATATGTATGCATACAAGGCTAGCCAGGATGTTCTTTACAATCCTAACTACAACCT